AAAATTGTTACTTCATAACCATAATCATTGGTGAGTGATGTCAAATACTGAACATGCACCAAAGACACGCTACTGTGGCATCACAGTTACTTTCATTCTCAACTGATATGGTAGTATTTACGTGCAGTAACAAATGTCATAACTAGTGTTTCTTTATTGTACTCTTATTAACTGCTTACTCAAAACTGCTACAAAAATAAGCAATCAGTCATGGAAGAAGCTAAAATTATCTATGGAAGTGGAAAAAATACAAATGTTCCAGCAATAAAAATTTGACCTTGAAACAATTTTTATGTAGCACAATGAAAAACAAAATGTCTATTCTAAGCACAGAACTGAAAAGGAGATATGGATCAAATAAAAAGAAGAGACATAAAAGCATGGCAACATAAATATATAAAGAATGTGCTGATGTAGTGAAATGAATGCATTCTGCAAACCTACCAATCAAACAGCAAAAATCTAAGAGAAGGGCAAGCTAACAAAATTAACCGACATTAAAGACTGATAATTTTAAAGCTACCAATGGGTGTCTGGACAGGTTTATGAAGCGTCAAGGACAGATATATAAAAAATACATATTGGGAGAGTAGAAGTGTAAAGATTCAGTTGAATACTGGAAGATTTAATTATTGCTGACGCATTTTGAAGGCAAAAAGCCTTCTTCCGCTAGACACTTTCTCTCAGGGAAACACTATGCCATGGGATAAAATATAATATAGAAAAAAATCACTGCTCTACTGCATGCAAATATGGACACAAGTGAAAAGTTTCCGCCCCCAAAAAGTGGGAAAATATTCCAAGCCAAGATGTTTTATGACTGTGTGGACATTGTCATGGAAATATTCTTACACTTTCAGACAATACACACATTATATACAAGCTTTTTAAAAATGTTCTAAGGTCACTTGTTACGAAAATGAGTGACGTCAAGAGAATCATTCTCCCGTATATTAATAAATATGTACCTCATTTTCCAGATACAACTTCTCTCTGCCACATTAAGGCACTGACTTTCCCTGCAAACTGTACTAGCCATTTGCAGCTGCTTGACTTCAGCGTAATATATTGCGTGAAATAAAACTATGTAACTGTATTTGTAAAGAAACACTTATGTAAAGAAATTATTTTTATCATCCTTATACACAGCCAATTTTATAACAAGATAAAAACGTTCCCAACGTAAATTTTACGTAATCCCATTTAGTAAAAACCCAGATTTAGTGTAAGAAAAGTTATTTCCCCCACAGATTCATTAAACAGGTATTTCACTGTAAATATAACAAATGGCACAACTCTCACACTTGAAATATGTTAAAAAATAAGATTTCATCCCAGAATGCATAATTACGCTAATGGCACTCAGTCAATCAGTATGGTTATGTCACTAATAAAAATGGCATGAAGCAGCTAATATAACTTAAAGCTCATTAATTCTGTGCTACTAAGATTGACTACAACTTTTACCCAAAAAGATCCCAGAAATTCTTTATTGCTGCTGTCAGATCACTTATATTACAACTCCATCTTCTGCTATGCCACTCTGGTGCTAATCTTCCTACTAATAAAGATTGTGCACAAGGCTAGGATATGGTGACAATGTCACATCAGAACTGCATCACACTGAAAACAAACAAAGGAATAGAACAGATTGGTGCGACTGCTTTGCAACAAGACATCTTGTCTTTCAAGAGCTGTACGTACAAACAAGACATACTGGGAAGAACCTACAATCCCTACTTATATATATATATTGCTCTAACAGATAATTACCTGCACACAGTTCTTGTTTGCATACCACCATTTGTACTGGAAATAGTATGGCTTTTTTACATTTTTTCTTCTGATTTTCAAGAAAGTTCATAACCAAAAAAAAAAAAAAAGAGTGAGTACTGATTCAAATAGGAATTTGGTATTTGGAAGGCAGCAACAAAATAATTAATTTTATCATTGGTAACAGTGAAAATAATAAATTTCATACCGTTACTGTCCGACTCAATTGTAAGGCACATTATTGAAAACCAAAATTGCAACCACTGCAGCGAGTCAGGCTCTTCCCTTCACCGAGCTTTACAGTGTCTTCATCCGTGCCTATAGAATATGGACTGGCACCATGCCTTCTCTGAAACAATTATATGAACTATGAACTACAGCTATCACAGCAATTACATTCATTGAAGTCTTCTATAACATATATTAGACTAGGTCAGACTTTAATATTATACTGCCACTGCAATCTTAGTCTTCCACTGATGCTGACCACTCACCCCCATCTAGTGCCAAGGTCAAGAATTAGGAGCTATACCTCCTCTCACCCCAAGTGCCTACATGGCGCATAGTGGGACAGCTTTACTTTACCTTACTTTATTATTATTATATTTATTTAGTGTTCTGTCTGACGACAGGTCCATATGAACAGGATCCTTCCATCCTTTTCTTGGACTGGGACCTGTTCATATACGTTCTTGGCAGATGATCCAGAAGTGGTTTGCCATTGCCTTCTTCTGTGTGTGAATGGAGTAATTGTTGGGATGCCACGGAGGAAAACTCCGTGTTGCCTAGACCACGGCCTTGCCCAACACAAGTTATAAATTCGGGTACCGCCGGGAATCGAACCCGAGACCCCAGGATTACAAGGCCAGCGTTCTATCCGCTAGACCACCGTGGCGTAGTACCTTACTTTACATACTATTTTTGTTTATGAGATTTTTTTATCTGAAACCACACTGTATTTTCTTTATAATTTAATAATATCGTAAATTGAGCCATACATCGAGTTGATTTTTACCCCCAACTTTTTCATTAGTCTTCCATGTTATCATTTCCTACATTTTTGATTATCTGACTGTATTTCACTCCTGTTTAGGTAGGATAATCAGAACTCTATGGTAGAGTGTGTTTTTCAGAAAAAAATAATTGAATTGCTACGCATGCTAAAATCCATTACATATAAGTACAAAAAAACAATACCTTCTTGGATACAGGAAATGGTCAAAAGACTGAATCCCTAATACAATACTATTAATTGGCAGCTGTCACCCACCTTCAGTTTTGTAGCCAAACGCATAAAAGCATCATCAATATTGGTGTTTTCTTTGGCTGAAGCTTCAAGAACAAACAAGATCTCTGGAATGTACACAGACATTACTTCTGCTTCAGCAAATTCCACCTCCCTTAAACTTTCTAGATCACACTTATTGCCTGAAAACAAGATACACACATAAGTATGACTGACTATGAGGTACAGTATCTTCCTTGAACAGTTGATAGTTACTCAGGTGGTGAAGAGATACCCTGGTTTAACAGAACCTGAAGGTTTATTGCCACAATCATTAAGGCCTGTCACTGGACCCCTTCCTGAGTCAGTTTAATCTGCTCCACACCCTCATACCTTACATCTGTAAGATCCATTTTAATATCATCCTATCACTTATATCTAGATTCAGCAAGTTGTTCCGTTTCCTTCAAATTTCCCAACGAAATGTTTCTATTAACTTCTCATCTTCCCAAATGTGCCACATGTTGTTGTTCCCTCATCCACATTGATTGATTTAATAGTTTTACCAGTATCAGGGGCAGACTGTAAATTATAAAGCTCAACATCATGAGCCATTATCCAGCCTATCGTTAATATTTCTTTCTTAGGTCAAAATATTCTCTTGGGCTGTCTGTTCTCTAATACCTTCAGTTGATATTATCACAGAGCAAGATATTTTAATATTTGTGCTTTAGATGTTACATGAGAATGCATAAGATTCTAAACCAAAAATAGAAAGCATTTAATAAATTTAATTTTCTTAAATTTATCGTTAATATATGTTTGAGTTGTTACTGTCATTCCCAAGCAACTGAACTGTGCAACTTACAAATGGTTTATTGAATATGCTTATATTACAATTTTGCTCTGCATTCTGGTGACAAGACATGAAAACATATTTGATTTTTTCTAAATGTATTTTACATACAAGTATGCTAACCTAAAACTCTATTTAAATTTCAATCAGATTACTTAGCGTCGATAAAATCAAGGTGTACTTTCCATTGGAGAAATACTCAATGGAAACACTATAATTTTTATCGTACACTAGATATGCTCAGAGTGACAAAATTTGTACATGCTGCGTATATTTAAATTAGTTGTATAGAACAATTGTAGTGTTTAACCTACCAACAACAATTAGCATTGCATTTGAGGCAGTATATCTTCGAACTTCTTCAATCCATCTTTGAAGACTGAGAAATGATGACCGTTTTGTTATGTCATACACTGCAACAGAAAAAATAAATATGCACTGCTTTACACAAAAGTAAAATATATTATGGTGGAATTCAACATAACGATCCAGAGGCGAAAGAATATGACACATGATTTTCATGTTTGTTACACTAGCTTTTATGTATATTTCATTTAAATGAAACAAAATCCTTTTCACAAGTAAACAATGGTTCATACCAGTGTTATGTAACTCTTTCATACAGCTTGCAAAACTATCACTTATGATTACTAGGCCTAAGATTACAGGAACTTGGTTAAATATATTTATTTTGTACAGTCTATACACAAACGTTTGAAGTTTATTGGTGTTGTAAAAATTATATAATATTAAAACATTTTGTTGTGTAAAATATTATATTGGTTGTTTGTTTTTTAATGCTCCAAATTAAATTTCAATTCAGAGTCTGCTCCAGCTCTTCAGCAGCATTGTCAGAGGTTCGATATTTTCACCATTATTTTAAGAAACTTTAAATCAGGCTTTCATCTGACACACAATTCACAATCAATATTTGGTATGCAAACATCAGTTACTTTCCCTCACTTCTGTAATGGATACTGACTATCAAAATGTTATTAAAATATAAAGGGTTGATCTGATATGGCTTTGACTGTGAGGAATTATGCTATATGGGAGAGTCACAAACATATTATATCATTCATCACAAAATCCCATGAGATTTTGTCTGTATTATAAAAGTACTGACATTATTTGCATGTCAAAAATAACTTTACTCAGCAACTGAGGAACCTTACCTAAAATTACACCATGTGCAGATCGATAATAACTTTGTGTTATGGTACGAAACCGTTCTTGGCCTGCTGTATCCCATATTTGCAGCTAGAAATAAACACATAGCTACTAAACATTTCTTCAGCTTAATGACCACTTTCTTATTGCACAAATGTTGAACTATGAAAAACATTTAATATCAATACTTTCAGCCATATTCCTTGAAAGGAATAAAGTCTCTCAGGACAATCGTGTTTGCCCATTTACTGACCCAAACTGCTAAGCAAAGAGACAAATATGCACATTCCTATGTAACATTACAAAAGCAATGCATCTCAAACATTAAAAAAATATATAATCAGTCAAGGCTGACAACACTGTGGAGCCAACTCCCATTGCATAATCTCCACATCAAATTTCATAATCTATTCCCCAGTTACTATATGACAACTGTTAATCAGCCAAGAATTAAATCTTTCAATTGGCAAATACAAAACTGTAAGAGCTGTAACTGTATTATTACAACCAACAGAGCAGCATGCTGAATAACAGAAACTGTATGTTATTTCCTTATTATCGAAATTAGCAGCAAACTGTAGAAACAACATAACCTTCACGCAGCTACTCAACATTCAACAAATTGTCTTAAAGGGTTATTAAGTATATTTAAAAAACTCAATACAAACTAACCTTCACCCTCTTGCCATCGACTATTACAGTTTTCATTGAAAAATCAACTCCAATTGTATTGAAGTGTCTTTCCACATATGTTCCAGATTTGAACCTTTGTACAACGCATGTTTTTCCTGCACCACAGTCACCAATTAATACTATCTTAAATAAGTAATCAAAACTATCATCACCAGAATTAACTAAACTAGAAGAAGTACGTATTGACATTTTCACGTCATAATCACTAGTTCATACAAATACCACAGAAGCCATAATCGAAACCACAGATAAAAAAGCAGTAAAAAAACACATTCTTCTCTGAAAAGCACAGACGTTAAAATGATGTTTAGATTTACGTAGGATTTGAGGTTTTCACGGGGTGAGTCTGAAGATTCCTGTCTTCTAAGTTGCTGCGCCGTAGGATATGGTAGAAGTTTACTGACGATTCAGAGGCCCTTGCTGCCTCCATCATCGGGTCGGATTGCCCTGATGTAAACTTCTACCAGACTAAAGATTGCTGTCTGCTGGGTTATTGCAACGTGTAGTCTGGTAGATTTACACCAGATTTCTTCTATCTAACTACATTGTGAGAGGCGACTTACTTCGTACTCATCGCCGTAAACACCTTATATTTCACTTAGCTTTTCTAAACTTTGAAGAAGGGAATTTTTGACGTAAATACGTCTATACGGAAGGGTCATTCCGCAAAAGAGTGTTACGAAAAAGTGACAGGAAAATGTGTAAGATGGTTACCTAGGAAATATCAACAATTTGTAAATATGGACTGACAACAATGGTCAGCTTGCATGCATTGTTATGTGACCTAGGAAACGTCATCTGTTTACTTGGCATTGTTGTGGAGTAGAGTAGAGTAGAGTTTATTTACATTCCATAGATCCTTCTTAGGACTCAACCAAAGGATATAGAACATGTCATTTCATACAATATACATACACTTCAGAACTTTCAACACAAGTACAAGAACGTATTTCACATTTCAATGTACATAAATTTCAGATTCTGCAATACAAGTATGAAAAATAATTTTACAAATTAAATATAAATACAAAACTTGCTTTACATATACGTAGATTATGGATATAAAGCTTAAAAATTTCAGCAGAGATGAAATCATCTACAGAATGGAAGGAGTGAGTAAAGAGGTACTCTTTCAATGCAGGCTTGAATACCTTTATATCATAATTTAGACTTTTAATTGTTGGTGGAAGATTATTAAACAACTTGATACCTGTATAGTACACTCCTTTCTGATATTTAGTAAAGTTAGCATTTGGCACATATAGATCATGTTTACGTCTTGTATTTAAATTATGTACATCTGTATTTCTTTTAAATTTATCCATGTTTTCCACCACAAATGATAGCAAGCAGAGTATAAATTCACTTGCAAGTGGAAGTATATTAAATTTACGAAATAATTTTCTACAAGATACCCTGCTTTTGACACCGGCCATTATTCTAATTATTTTCTTTTGCATGTAAAAAACTTTATTACTGTCTGTTGAATTTCCCCAAAAGATTAATCCATATGACAATACAGAGTGAAAGTAAGCAAAGTAAACTAGCTTTAAAGTATCTATTGTCATGAGTGGTACGACTGTTCTCATGGCAAAGCATGCAGAGCTTAATTTGGGAATAATATACTCAATGTGTTTCTTCCAATTTAAGGTACTGTCGACTTGTAAGCCAAGGAATTTGTTTGTTTCAACTTCCACAATTATTTTTTCTTCAAAACCTATATTTAATCTAGGATATGTCTTGTGCTTAGTAACAAATTTTATGAAGTTTGTTTTTTCAAAATTTAGTGCCAGTTACAATACCTTCGTTATTGCGGCAAGAGCTGAGCTGTGAATCGTTTGTAGAAAAAGTGCGTCGTGGACTAGGTAATTTTGTGCTGGTAAAAACGTATTTACGTCAAATTCTCCGGAATCGTGGTTTCACTGTCAATTTTTTGTTTCGTAACTATTTCTGTTAGTTCATGTACGGCTAAGATCATAGCAAGTAATCGGCGAGGCCATGTGCGTATAGTATCTTAAACCTTTGACAACATGGATAATACTACCACAGTCGCCATTTTCCGAGTATAGTAGTGGAGAGTTTTTTGAATATGCAACATCTGTTTTTACTAGCAGTTAGATCTAATATTGGTTACTATTTTGCAGAGAAAAAATTCACCATTTTAAAGTAGTTTACTACCTGTAGCAGCTGTTGGTAATTTTGTATATTGTACTCATAATGGAATTGAACTGACACTGGCGCAACATTTTGAAGTGTGTAACCTGAACATGAGCAATACAAAACCTACAAATAATTACACGTACACTTTTAGACCGTTTGTGTTTGTAAAATGTGATCCGAAACTGGTTGGAGACCGATTTCAGGTTCCAAAAGGAAGAAGTGGGCATCGAATTGTATGCGATGACAAAAATCTATATTCATTCGGCGGTTATAATCCATTTCTTAATGATGATGCTGAAATAAGAAATGACCCAGTGTGGATGGAAAACAGACCTTTGTTTAAAGAGCTTTGGAAATACAATTTTGCCTCTAAGATATGGCAGAGACTGTCATGTAATGGGACCATTCCAAACGAACTAGCATCTAATACTGTGGTTTTAAAGGGAGGAACAATGATGATTTATGGTGGGACAGGCTATCCATTTGGAACAACTTGTAGTAATCAGCTTCATATATGTAATCTCCGTGAAGATTACAAGATGAAAGTTGTGAATGTGAATGGCTCTTGTCCTCCAAAACTGTATGGCCAAGCAATAGTTTTGGATGGTCTCAACTTATATACTGTTGGGGGTACCACAGGTTTTGATTACACTGCTGATATTCATCGCTTAGATTTACGAACAGGTATGTGGGAAGAAGTATATATTTGCACAGGCAGGACATGGAAAGAACCACAGGGTAGATATCGTCATGAGCTGGCATTTGATGGAACACGAATCTACCTTTTGGGAGGTGGTACAGCTGAAGAAGTATATGGATTTCAGGTAATGTGCATGCTGTTATTTCAGTCCTTTTGTTGGCATGAAATGCATCACTTCATTGTGTAAATTTATGAGTGAACCAGACTCCTTTTGTGTAGCTGATTATATGCTCAGCTAATCAAATTCCCTGCCTTTTATGGAACCTGAAGGTTCATTACCATATTGAGCCAGATGAGTCCAGTCAACAGTTTCTTGACCTGTCTTTTTAAGTTCAACTTAATATTATCATCCCATCTTTACATAGATCTTATTAAATGATCTCTTTCCTTCAGGCTTGCCAAACAAAATTTTGTATGCATTCTTATCTCTCCCATGTGCACTACGCATCTGCCCGTCTCATCCTCCAGTTCATTCTTGTTTGTGTTCATTAAGGACATTCCAGCATTCAATCTTCTTACTGGGTCCTGGGAGAGCCTGACGACACGCTGTGACCCAGGAGCATCAGCTCCAGGTTTTCCTGCACCAAGGCGATGTCACGGATGTGTTCAGATGTCAGACAATGAGCAGCAGGAGATGATGGTCTATATATGTGGTGGTTATAATGGCACCGAGATATTCCGCGATGTATGGAGGCTTGAACTGCAAAGTCTGCAGTGGACTCAGATGATGAAGTGCCATTTGCCACGTGCCATTTATTTCCATTCAGCAGCAGTCACACCATCAGGTCACATGTATTCCTTTGGTGGTATTACAGAAGAGAATAATAGTAACAGAACTGCTGATGTGAACTGTGCATGGATGTGCATACCAAAACTGACAGAAATGTGTTGGGAGGCAATACTGTATTATAATCCAAGTCTACACCTTTTGCCTAAAAATCAGCTCTTGATGTGTGGTTTACCTTTAGAATTTGTAAACCGAATTGATTGAATTCTGTATGTTGTAAATATTTATAAATGCTTTTAGTTTAAAGCATTGCTTGTGTAATGAATTCTGGGCTACATGAATGTACTTTTGCATATCTAATAATTTTCATATTTTTGAGAGATGTATAGGCTAGTTAATAAGTGAAACATATTGGTGACCAGCAATTACAATTTAATTGTTAAGATGTAATATATAAATTACAAAGAAAAGCAGTCCTACTGTCTAGGATATAAATGGTTCCTGTAATGGTGGTGAGAAGTTTGTTAAGGTATCTTATATCATGAAATGGATTAAAATTTAAAAATTACTTTATTATTAACTTCAGTCACCTAGCCACAAGACTGTAGTGGAAATAATTATGCCTTTCCTAATTTTGTAGTGTAATCTAATTCTATATTATTACATAAAATAACAGTAAAAAGGAGGTAACAATAAATTATTTATAGTGAGAAAAGAAATTGACCAAATAAAATTTGTAAATGAAAATGAGTTTTTATATGAAATTTCTCATTCAAGTTGACATGATGAATTATCTGCCAATCTAACAATTTTGGCCTGGTGGGGAGCACACATAACTATCCAAAAAAAATAAATGTGAGCTCAGACATAAAATTCTGAAAGCTACACAGAATACTAACTGTTTTATATTCTTAACTATGTGGCATTAAATCCTACATATCCAAGTCTGCAACCACAATATATGGGTCTTTAATGACATAAACAGGTGATCATATTTTGTCTTCATTCTTCATAAGGATGAACTGTCACAGCAGTCAGTCCATAGTGTTCCTCTTATGGTCCTTAACGAGCTGCTGAATTCCCTAAGACTCATTCAAGTCAGAGTACTTCCATTCTGTTGCCATAATTAGCAATGAACACCTCTTAATATAGTCTGAAGTATAATCACAAACATTTTTACTTCCATTCTTGACTAACTAAACAACGCAATTCACAATAAAACATGCTGTAAAAGTTTCTAAATATCTTTGCCGCAACGTGCGTTGGTAGGTGAGTACAGGAGAGCTGTGTTGCCAGTACCTAGTGACATTTGTCATTTTGAGTTAAACCACTACCCAGAGCACACTATCAGAGGAGTTTTTTCTTCCTTCAATGAAATGCCTATGTAATAAGGAACTAACAATGGTAAGAGTTTGGTGCAGGTGTAGAAATAACTGCTCCTGTTATGTTTAAAGTTCAGTTATCAGCATCACGTTGAAAAGGGTTGTGACCAAGTGGCAACATGTGAATAAATTAAATTTTATACTACAATGTTCTCATTTTGTTGCTCTGAATTTTATTTTCTAGTTCTAAAGAAAGGTTAAGCAGAATTTTACCATAATCAATCCATTTCTTGACATGAAAAACAATGTAAGGTTTATTCCTCCAAATTATTTTTTTCTTTTCATAAAGACATTATGTCTCAAGGTTAAAAAAACTTGAAATGGACATTGCTAAATTTATACAGTTATTTTGTGCCTTTTCCCCACAGTTTCATGTTACGATATATGCAATTATTGTAAATTTGGGCAATCTACTTTTTAAATTATTCCTTTAACCAATGACAATAACTGTCAACTCAAAGAAATTTAGTATGAAACTAAAATTGAACACTAAAGCAGACCTAACATTGCTATGCTTAAAAATGTACACCATACATACCACAAGACAACTTATCCAATAATAGGTGAACTATCAGAGGTCTTTTACTATTAAACTGAAATTAAACATTAGGTGACATTAGTAATGAAACCATTACTTCTAAAAATGTACACTGTACACATAACCTCACAATAACATATCACTGTAAGGACACACAGACAAACCTGCATATATATACAGTAAACTGATAAACATTCATACAAATTTACAACAATGCAATACTTTACTCTCTGTTGCTCATTTTGTTGTGACTGGTTCTCGTATCAGGAACAAAATCAAATAGTATAAGGCAATTAATTATCTCATACAAATTCATTAAATCACAATACGTACACAATTACGTGTAAAATTATTTAAAAAAAAGTTACCAGGTCAGTTTTTCCAAATTTAGCCTTGGACAACTGGTATCATCACACACACACAAAGAAACTATACTAGAGTCATGAACGATTAAATACTGGCAAAAGAAAAGCTACTGTTCTGTAGCTGTGTATTCCCGACCCCCCCACAATACCCCACATGTTCACATTTGGATGCCAGTAAAGCACAATAAACACATATTCATACATGTGAATGATATAAATCCAATTTGGATAACACTGACTCAAATGTTTGTTAATATAACAATAATAGGCAAGATCACAATTAACAAAATAAATGAACATATTATGAATCCTGGATATACTTTAGTTTTGTTTATTTCTCACATTTCCATGTCAATATGGAAGTTTTATTCAAGTT